AGCAAAGCTTTGGTGATGGGTTTTATGAATAAGCGGCCGCCCATTTTTTCGAGGTCAGATAAAGTTTTCAAATTGTCTAGAAATCCTGAAGTGTAGGTAGACCTAATGATTTAAGGCGGAGTTAATGGTTAGAAACTAAGGGAAGAGGTGATCAGTGGTGCCAGTATGAAGGCAAAACCAACGGACCAGACCTGTCCCACGTGTTTAAGTGTTGTGTTTTGTCCGAGCTCTAATAACCATGTAGCACAGCGTTTCCTTGAATGGTGCAACCCTTCTTCATCCTGTCAACAGTACGTCAAACTAGTTCCATTATGCGATACTTTGCATTGACGGCTCTGCAGAAATGGAGTTAGGTTTGAAGTTCGGTGCCGTCTTTGTTGGCGCTGCATATCACACCATTTTTTATCACCTTACTCATTTCCCCATTTTATTTCTGCAAGCAGATATAAACCCACTGTTGTTTGAAATTATTTTGCTGACACTCTTCTTTTCAGGAATGAGTTGGGTTGGGCCGACCAGCTACTTCTTTGGCCTTGTTACAAGTTCGATAGGAATTGCTGGAAATTCTCTTCTGATATATCTGGTACTAAAGAAGACTCCAAAGCATTTGAGCACTTATTCCGTGCTCATTTTCAACAATGCCATCTGCGATCTTGCCGCTTCCATGGCTTCGATGTTTGTGCATCAAAGGTATTGGAAAAATATTAGGTTGTCCCATAATTAGTGAATCACTTTACATTTATTGCTATAAATTCCAAGAAAAATCTTGAAGGCGTGAAACATGTTTTGCCAAGTAGTACCCACATTGTCCTACCTGAGCAATTAGTCAGCCCATTCACATGTTGCCTTCCGAGGCTGAAACTTCAATTTTTCTGGAATCTTTCCCCAAACACGATATGGAATCGCCATGTTCCCTCTGGTTTCCCAGAGTTCCTTTCAGTGATCATCCTGCGTATTCACCAGTGTTGTGAAGTGGGTGGAGTGTGCTAGCAAATCACAAGGAGCAGTAGCCTAGCTTAAAAGATTCGGGAGTTCTGACAGCAAAAGCCCAACCTCTCTGTCGGACCTGTATGTCCGACACTTCTGAGATTTTAGTGGAGCACAGAAGGGACCTTGCGCTGGGAACCGCCGCCTAGTAATACTAGAGTCAGTGAATAAGGCAAACGTCGACAGCATAATGGCGACGCGTTCTTCATCTGAAGGTAAAGCAAGACAAAGTCTGCTTTTTTCCTGAGGTCATTCGACCCCACCTTTCGGAAAATATTCATAAAAAATTGGAGACCTTTGGGCTAGCAGTTCTTCCAGCTCCACCGTGTAGCCCTACCCTCGTACCAGCGAAAGATAACCTAGTCTAACTTATACCATTATTCCAGGAAGAAATTTTACGCTAAGTGACATGACCTCAAAGCCGACTTCCGATCATTCACTTCATATGAAGAAGAAAAAAATTAAAATTGAAAAATGCCCGAAAGTGATTCACTAATTATGGGACAACCTAATAACATGGGCTCAATACATGCACGGGGGGCCAAAAAAACATTTTGCAGATGTCGCACTTCGGCCCTTTTTTCTTCGCAGAGATTGCCGTCGTTGACGGAAGTTCCTCAGCAAATATTCCCTAAATGTCCCTCTATAAGTAGACGCAGGCCCTCCTTCACTGCCCTCACCGTCTTCAGAATATGACGTCATCTGTCACCGTCGTCAAGCTCAAGGAGGTCTACCGTAACTGCTTCAGCCTGAAGCTCTTACATAATTTCGTGAATCGATTCAATGTTGGATAGTTTCCTAGAGACATTAGCTCCCACTATGCAAATCCCCTCGAAACTCGCTTTTCAGTAAAGGTCGTTATGGTACACGATCCTTCGAAGACCCCATTGAGCTCGACCAGTGCACCATGTTTCCAGGGCAAATTCTTCTGATGCCGTCCACGTAGGTGGCCAATGAAGATTTTCTTATAGAATGAAATGTGCTCTTCAATACTAAGTTGGGACCATTCGGTTCAATTGAGCAAAGTGTAATTAAATCCATCTGAATGTGGAGACAGAAATGTCTTTTTTTATTGCCCCCGCATATAGTAACAAACCTTTAACTAGTGGGCCGTTGTTTTTTCACATGAAGCTCTAAGTCTGTTCAACCATGAACATTTGAAGAATTTGAATCTCGTGGAAAAGGAAAAAAATCTATAGCAGAGTTGCAACAGAACATGTTTGAATGTGGGAACCAAGCTTCGCAATATGAAGAACTCCACAATTGAGCTACTAGCATTGTACTTCCTTTAGACGAACCCCTAAAAAGGCATTGGTCGATGTGTAATTTTTTCCTATTTCACAGATTAAACCTTAAAATACTTTAAAGCATTCAGAATCTTGGCTGCTGGCGTTG